TCAGGTCGAGACTGCGGTGGCCGGGAGCAGCCACTGCACTCCAGTCTGGGCGACAGAGTGAGACTCCAACTCAAAAAAAAAAAAAAAAAAAAAGCCTGTACAGTAGACATTGCATTTTACAGGTGATTAAACATGCAGTGAAAGGTTTGAAGAAAATAAGAAGGAACTGTCTAGTAGAAAGGATTCTGAATCTAATGGGAGTCCCTACCATTATTAAACAGCTGTGTCCCCTCAGGACAATCAGAAAAAACCAAACCAAACCATAGAACTGTTGTCAAGAAGGAACCTACATTGGAGATGATGTAGTTTAATCTCCTCATTTTGTGGGTAAGAATCTGAAGCCACCCTTACTGACCCACTGAGTTTTCTCATCCATCAAATGGGGAGAACAAAGCTCAACCCTACCCTGCCTTCTCCCACACCACCCCCAGCAAGTTATGAGAATTGAATGAGGTGATGAATGTGAAAGTAATAAGAAAAACAAGATTACACAGTTGTATGATTTTCTTTTTTTGAGTTGGAGTCTCACTCTGTCGCCCAGACTGGAGTGCAGTGGCACACTTCTGGCCACTGCAGCCTCGACCTGCTGGGCTCCGGTGATCCTTCCACCTCAGCCTTCCAAGTAGCTGGAATTACAGGCGCGCACGACCTCACCCAGCTAATTTTTTGATTTATTGTAGAGATGAGGTCTCGCCAAGTTGCCCAGGTGGGTCTCGAACCCGTGGGCTGAGGCAATCCACTCACCTTGGCCTCCCAAAGCACGGGATTACAGGCTGAGCCACTGAGCCCGGCTAGCTCTATGATTTAAAAAATCCACATCACCTAACAATGCGTAAAAATTCTATCAATTCTCTCTCCCTCACTTACCTGCAAGAAAATGCGCTGATACACTGTCCTGGACATCAAGTGTGTTTCATACTGTGTTTACATAGACATGTACACACTCAGGCACATAATTATAGCAGCACCAATCATGCCACTACACTTAAGCTTCTGTCAGCTTTTCCAGTATTAATTGCTATTTTCAGATGGTTTTCAAACTTAGCAGCAAAAATTCATTTTTATGTGAAACTAGATATAATGCATGGTCTCAGCAGGAGAGCAAAAGTCTCCATTAGAAAAATAAAAAAAATAAAATAAAAAAGAGGGAATACCAGGAGGTCATTGTCGTCATTTCTAAGAGCTGGTTGCCATTCTGAATTTTTGAATAATGGAAGTTGTTTTAATTTTAAAGTCACCTGCAAAAGTTGTGTTACAGTTAAATTTGAAGAGCTGCTCGTCTAAGTGATATATCATGATCTTTACAGGGCTGCGGGTTTCTTGGTTGGGCCAGTGCTTGTACATGGTCCCCACATGCCACTCTACCTGTCGGTGGCGTAAACTGCAAGGGGCTACACATGATGCAGCACTCTCTGCCCAGACACTCCTTGCCCCTTCAGCCCTAGCCACCCTGTCTAGTACATGGCACCCTCTCCTCTCACTCTCCACCCCTCGCCCAGCTTTATTTTTGTTCTTAGTACTTATCACCACGGACACACATGGTACCCTTGCTTGTTACTGCCTGTCTCCTCCGGCTGGAATGCACGCTCCATGACAACGGGGTCATCTAATGTTTTATTCACGGCATGGTTTCAGTGCCTCGCATATAGTAAGCACTCGGTCAATATTTGTTGAGAGAATAAACTAAATCCAGATGCTGAGTAATCTAAAAAATGTGAGTCTTTGGGAATTCCAAGGCCACGTTCAATTGCGTATTCTATTGAAAAGACTTTCTCCAAGAAGCTTTTGCTATGATGGGGTTTCAGAGGGGAGCGTCCAGTGCACAATATTGTACCCATGAGAAAGAGGAAGAGTGAGCAGTCTTTTTCATCTCTAATGACTCAGTTATGAGTTGTGTTTTCCTTTTCAGTTCACTAAATACAGATACCTTTGAGATGTAGGTTAACGTTTAGGAGGGAAATAGCACATCATCCATTCATTCATAAACATCCACTGAACCCTACTGAGTACCAGCATCCACCCCTTCCCATAATGAATGGTTTTAGAAGTCCCCAGCATCCCCAGGGGAGAGACACGTCACAGATGGAGCCGTTCAATCTGAGGAACATGCCTCACAACTGAGGCTGCACAAATCAAAAACAAGAAAAAGAACATAGATTTCTAATTAGTCCATTACTTTTGAAAAATTATTTTCAATTTACCAAAGCGCAAGTTTCTAAACATTCAGTCACAGAATCATTTAAAACTCAGAATCATGAACACTCAATTGAATGTAAAATGTTGACTGATGAGCAGAAATTTGAGAGAATTCATTTATCCCTGGAGAGAAAATTCCCCTCAACCGCAATGACGCTGTTTACTTGGGAGCTCAGTTGTTCCTTTGCTAGATTAATCTATACTCATATATGAAAGGGTGTATACTTCTAGAAAAAATAAGTATACTCTAGATTTATTTACTTTTATTTTTATTTTTTGAGTTGGAGTCTCTCCCAGTCACTGCAGCCTCGACCTGCTGGGCTCTGGCGATCCTTCCGCCTCAGCCTTCCAAGTAGCTGGAACTACAGGCACACGCTACCATGCCCAGCTAATTTTTGATTTATTGTAGAGACGAGGTCTTGCCAAGTTGCCTGGGTGGGTCTTGAGCCCGTGGGCTCCGGCAATCCACTCACCTCAGCCTCCCAAAGTGCTGGGATTACAGGCTGAGCCACCGAGCCCGGCCCAGATTTATTTTAAAAGGTATATATGATGCCAACAAAATGCCTTTATAATCCCTCTTCATTTCCAGACAACCA